AAATTTTAGTAGTATCCACTAGAGCAAGATTAATGATGAGCATCAACTTGTTCAAAATAAAGCAGAAAAGAAAAGAAATCTTTGAGAATCTAATTCTAGCCAATAAAGTAGTCTATAATAGACTCTGCAAGCTATTAAAGCATGAAAATCAATGTGGTTTTTTCTACAAAAAAAGAATCTAGAAAAGAAAAGGCTAAAGCAGCATGTGACGAAGGGACCACCCCTTCAAATAGTGAAGAGGATCTCATCATTCTCTAAAGAATCCAATAAGATGTAAGCTCTTATCTCACTAAAGAGAAAAATAGTGATGGCAAGATTCCATGTAATCTGTTTCAGAAAAAGCAAAATGTAAGTTTGGATCACTAGACAATAATGTAAACTTTTAGCATTAGCAATGACGAAAGAAAAGATTCAAAAAAGTGCTATAAAAAGCCTCCTACAAGTTGTAACAGGTATGGGCATTTGAATATCCAAGTACTTTACCTGTGTGCCTTTTACCATATATCTGTAAACACTCTTCAAGAGGAAAGGGAACGTTCCCTTTCTCTTCTCTGGAATAAAAACATGTTTTAGGATAATTCCTGTGCTTCTATCCTTCCTGATTTTCATCATAGAAAACGATGAGAAGAATCCCTGAAGATACTTAGGTAGCAGCGAGGCCTCTTGTCTTGTTTGAATACCCGTGGTAGCCAGAGTGCGGCATTGAGGGTTGAACGAAGGAAGCATAAACTAGACCAAAGGCTAGACTATCAGATTTTTAGGTATAATTCTAACTCATCCTTTTTATCATGCAGAAGCTAGGTGCGCATAAAAACATTCCTATTATCTTTTGGCACTATTATTCTTGGGATTAGAAATAATAGGGAAATAGTACTTGTCTTCTTATATTCCAAATAAAAAACTTGTCTTAGAAACTTATTTGTAATACTTTAAGATGCTTGACTTCATTCAAGAAATAATTGTAGATAAAGTGGTTTATGAGCAACAATGCGAATATTATAGAAATAAAATAATAAATATTTTATAAAAAATAAGTAATATTGAAGTTATAGATGATTACTAACTCTCCAAGAATTTCAAAAAGTTAAAGTGAACCGCAGCAAATTTAAGTGAAGATTTAAAAAGACTCAAAAAAGTTAAGCAAAGGCTATCTTTACTAGCAACTTAATAGATTTGATTCCACACTTATTGGACTTAACATACCAGCTACATATTAGTTTGTAGTTTGAGTTAGGTTTCAAAAACCCCGTAAAAATTTTGGTATCAGAGCTATAAAAAACAATGCTATTAAGAGTGGAATTAAGAAAGTTAATAAGATTCCACAATCATTAGATCAATTTAATAATTAAGATCATAGAAGAAGAAGGAATGATTTCCTATAGAACTGATGAGTTACTATGGGAAAGGTATGTCTATAAAGTTTGTAAAGCATTAGCTTTAGAAGAGTTAAAAATTTTAGCAATATATAAGAGTAAGAGTTGTTTTCACAGCAAATATAAATTCAAGGACTAAAGGATCCAAAGAATATTAAGTTTAAGGACTAGAATGTCACGTCAACAGAAAGCAAAAGAGTTAAGTTCAATGTCATGGTTGTCAAAAGGGCTGATTTGCCACCTGATGTAAGTTGGAGGGTTAGCTTGATTTTGAATGCACTTAAGGGGCTTATTTAACACCGATCGACGTGTTTAGGGGGTGATTTGCATGATTCGCCTTTAATTTAGTTCAGGATGGTTTTTAACTATTCTCAATTTTTATCATGACAATTATCCACTGCAATTGGTGAAGTAAGATATTCTCTTCAAATATGCATAAGAGAATTTATAAAGTGCAACAATTCTATTGAATGGTTTCGTAAAACCAGATCTCTGGGTTCAACAAAAAACCGACCGATGGGCTTTAGGGGAAGAGAAAAGGAATAGCAATGGTGGTGACATGTCAACATGAAGGTCTAGTAAGTGTTGTTGATGTAGGGTAGGAGTGGTGGCAATGATTGATTGATGGTGGTCTTGGGTTTTTGAGATCATTTTGCTTTAGATTCCCTAAATTTTGGGTGAAGGATTTTAATGCCGAAGAAGAGAACAACATTGGTGATGGAAAGAACAGAAGCAGCAACAAGCGGAGAAGGATTGTTTCGTTGGGTTTCCATTTTGTTGGTGAGAAAATTACGGAAATTAAGAAATATTATAATTTTAAATTGTTTAGAATGTTTTGCAATTTTGTGTTAATTTCGTAGTTCTTAATTATATGAAATAAAGTATTGGTTCAATCAGTGTTTGGATGCTTAGAAAATTTTCATGTTTGGGTGATGAGAAAATGGTAATTTAACTAAAATCTTAGTTTTAATTAATTAAAGTTAAATAAGTAATTATAATTAATTAAAATTTAATTGAAGTCAAATGTGGAATATATAAAATAAATTGAAGTTAATCATGTAAAAGGCAATAAATATTATTTTAGGTGGGATTCACTAGAAAATCCTTTTAGAAATTTAACTTGGTGTTTTTATTTGTTCATATAAGCCAATTATATAATGTGTCATTACAATATCAAAAAAGGGTGTCATTTGTCCACATAAGTAAATTATGTGACATGTCATTATAATGTCATAAAAAGGTGCCATTTTTGGACTAAGTTAATGGCCCCGTCACACTTAACAAGCGATAGAGTAAGAAAAAAGTGCATTCTTCATAGAATTGAGGGATAAAAAAGTATTTAAAATAGTTTAGAGACCAAAGTGTTCAAAAATTAAAGTTCAAGGACTAACATTTACGTTTAACTTTTTTCAAAAGGTGGAGACTACTGTTGGCCAAAAACAAAAAGAAGGTTAGGGACAAAACCATCCCATGTTAAAAAAGGGTGAGACAAAAGAAGGATTTTACCCTAGCGTAGTGGGTGGGGTTATTGTCATATATAATATTAATTAATAGCTAATGTCACATTTTTTCGACTTAATTGATTATCAGTTTACTATCCTGTGAGTAATTAATTTATTGAGTAATAATTACTCCCTCCTTTCAACTTCAATAAATTTAATTTAGTTTGACGTTTTACCTTTTTAAATATAAATTTTAAATATTTAATAAATTATATGAATAACAATTAAATTTTTTATATATATAATTCTTATTGAGATTTTCATTTGATTAAAAAAATTTCAATTATCATTTATATAAAGGTTTTTTTTTAACCTATACCCTTGGAATATATGTTAAAAGCATCTTTTCCTCCAAATTTGTATATAAAATGTAAAAACTGACATCAATTTTAGTGTCAATATTGCTATGTATATAAATTTAATTACATAGTTGATAAATTAAATATTAATTTTTGTTCTTCCAAGGCTTGTAAGGCACAAATTTGACAAATCCTTTATATATTGTGAAATATTTTTATCTAAAATTCTTGTTTAAAAAGTCAAAATGTCAAACTAAAACCACTAAAATTAAATGGAGATAGTAATGCTTTTTGTCTTAAAAAGGATAAAGTTAACTTTTGTCTTGATTATAAATGCCATTTGCTAATTTTTTATTGATCCATTTTGAATTAAAAATCAACGATTGTCTTTTTAATTCAAAATTTTACATGCCTCAAAGGGATAACTTGTTAATAACTTGAAATTTTAAATTTAAATTTTAAGTCAAATAAGAAGAGATTTAAAAAAAAAGAGCTATTTTCCCTCCATAACTTATTATTAGATATATTAAAAAAATTTAAAATTTAAAAATTTTCAAAAAAAATTATAATAATTACTTAATAATTACTCCTTTTATCCTATAGTAAGATAAACAAACCCATTAACTAGTAGACTTTTGCATCCCATTTTTTTCTCAAAACTCTATTTTTTTATTTTATAAAAATTAAAAGTATAATAGTCACTTAAAATTAAAAATTGTAATATTAATATTTGAGGGTGTGAAATAATACCAGCTAGTACATTCTACTTCAAAACTTCTTCACTTAAATTGCTGATCGATCTTTCCTTTCATTTATGTACCACTGTTTAATTGAAAATCTGTTGTTATTAGTAGGGCTGGGCATTTCTTAACCGAATAGATGGTTTACTTAAAAATCGAATAAAAAAAATGAATTTGGTTCAGTTTCAATGGTTTTTGGTTTTATTTTTTTGGTTTTAGTATTAACTAAATGTATTTGGTTCGGTTTTGGTTGAATCTCTTAAAAATTAAAAACCAAAAATAAAACCGAAATTAAGATAAAATAGATAAAATATATTAAAATATGATAAAATATAACAA